TTTCCCCGATAGTGGAGCTGAACTTAAGTCATCACCCTTTCACCTAAGGACAATAACTTGGGGAGGCTCCTGTTCTGGACTGGGTCGACACTTGTCTCACTGTTGGGAAGGCCCAATCCAGTGCCTTTATCAAAGGTCCAAAAGCATACAGCCCAATCTAAGAACTGTTGGGAATTTCCCATGTGTCCGCTAGGCCGACGTTGCCCACGTGTCCATATCATCATCATCATTTTGTCCTTCGGGAATAACGGGTTCAGCTCCTGATTTCTTGAGGCAGTTGACCAGGGAGGAGGCCACGTGCTGGACTCCATACACACGTAAACCCTAACAATCTTTGTTGTTGGACCTCATCGTGGCCCATCATTGAAGACCTTGGCCCAACGTTGGGGGCTATAAATACCCTCTCACTTGAGAGGGTCAGGTATTCATATTCATACTCACTTACTCTCATACTTGTTGGCACTCGTTCTGAAACTTACTTTGACAACAAAGTGTCTTGCAGGTACTCTCCCCCCACTTTACATTCAACTGTTGCTCGACTCAAAGTTTGAAGGCTTTGACAATCTCTTCTGGTCAGGTACGATCAGTAGGGTTGCGGGCAGATTTGCTATTTTGATTTATGTTCTTTGGAGATGTAGAAACGAAGTGGTTTGGAACGTGACTCGCAAGGATGATATGAAGATTGGGTTGCAAGCTTATTACAACTGGCATGATTGGTTCTTAGCAAGAGAAGATGTTAGTACTGACAATGTTATTAATCATCCTGTAAATTGGAGTCCGTCTATGGAAGGATGGGTGAAATGTAATGTAGATGCGGGTTTTAATAGTACATTGGGTACAACCAATAGAGGTTGGTGTGTAAGAAACTATCTGGGTAGTTTTATTACTGCATGGGTGGCCTGGCATTATGGTTTTTATCTCCTATGGAAACTGAAGCCATGCCCTTGAAGGAAGCAATCCAGAATGCTATCTCTTTACAACTTTCTCGTATTTCTTTTGAAAGTGATTGCCAAACTGTTGTTCAAGCGCTTTACTCTAATCGTTTAGATTACTTTGAATTTAATTTCATTATTATGTCTATTAAGAATTTTTGAATTTTGCATAAAAAATAATCTTTTGAATTTGTTTTCGAATTCTGAGGAAAGTCCACTAAACGTCAAACAAATTCGATTGCTCATACGTTAGCGAAGACGACAAATTGTTAGACTAGGCAGAATATCCTTAATATAATACCTCCGTGTATTGAATTTTTTTTATTAATGATACTTGTTAGTTTGTTTCTGTCTGAAAGAAAACAAATAAAAAGTTGTTTAAAATAATAAATTGTTTTGAATAGTTTCTATAAAAGAATTACAATGATTTTTTAAAGCGGGTTATATTATGATAAACACATAAAAAGGTAATTTTTTTAAAAAAGTTCTATAGTACCAAAATATTATAATCAATTTTGTATGATTCATACTAAAGAGATCTTTAATTTCCTTGTTTTTCTTTCGTGAAAACTAAAACACAAAGTTTTCAAATATGAATGATGAAGAATTTGTACTCGAGGGACACGCTGAAGAGAAAATAACGTCAAGGACGGTGGCCATGACAGCACATTAATATGCAATGGTCACTTTCTTTCTTTCGTTATTATAAAGTAATAATTTGTTGAATAAATTGGAGTTCAATTTTCAAATAACCTCAAAATTGTCACTTTTTTTTTGGCATGAAATCCTCAAAATTGTCATTTTCATAGAGAAACGAAGATAGATACAAAATCTGGAGCCAATAAGTGGTTCAATATTGCTATCATTACGAACAAAAATATGTGTACTAGTACGTGATATAGCAGCATACCTGCGGTTCCAAAGTCCCATCAATACGACACATATTTTTTTACCCTAAACAGTACTATTAACAAGATAAAAACAACCTCCAAATAATACTATTTTGAAAAAAAAAACAATAGAAAATGAAAAATATATTTTAAATTTTAATAATTTTTTATTTTATATTTGTTCCGCATGAGAAATAATGATGATAGAATGAGACGGTGAGATGAAATAAAATTTTAAATAGTAAAAATAATTTCTGACAAAATAAAAAGAAGATTGACTTGAAAAATTTGAATCATATAGACATAATTTATTCATCGTTCTATTTTTTTTTTAAGATTAAATTTTATTTTTTGCAATAGACTAATTAATGGAATAAATGTGTCACTCAAAAAGAAAAGATGAAACTAAAATATATTCTTTTGACTAAATGGCATTACATAATTTATTGAATTTTTTGAAATTCATATTCAAGCTTTAGGAATCTTGACTCATTGAGTAATACATTATAATTGAATAACAGAAAAACAAACATATAAAAAGTAATTAAAATAAGTTTATATGACCCAAATCTATGATCAAATAGTAACGTAGTATGTTTTTCATTATAACTCTTAATTGAAATTCTCACTTCAAATTCAACCGTTATTTTATCAAAAACAAATGTTTAATTTTAATATCGTTAATTATCTATAACCTATTGGAAATTACCACGAAGACACGTGAACAGAAGAATATTTGTATTATTGTGGGGTCATTTTCGAGAATGATTCGATCAGAGTCCACCCGTGACAAGGTAAGGTTAAATTGGTAATTATAAGGTCTAGGCGGCTGATTCAGCTTCTTCGTTTCATAGTGGTAGTGGTAGCTTTGTTATTTTCATGAAAGAAGAAGGGCATTTTAGGAATAACGCTAAACATGTTAAAATATCCGCAGAAACAGACAAACTTTCCAACTTGAATCCCTCGTCCGCTAGCAACGTCAAATTAGTTATAAATTCAACTTTTAAAAAGACTATCACAAATAAAGTACCCTTAATACCCTTACAATATAATTTTTATGGATTAAATATATTTGTGTTATTTTTAAATATTTTATATTTCACTTTTAATTTTTAAAAAAATTTATTTTAAAGAATAATTTTCTTAAATTTTTTTATCATACTTTTAGTTTTTCATATAACTTAATGACGGTCTTTTATAACATAATAACTGAATTAATTATAGTTTTAACAATAATTTTTATTTAATGATTGAATTAATAATAATTTTAGTGACAACTTTAACTAAAATAACCAAAAATGTGAATGCAATTTTTTAAAATTTGAAAAAATTATTTATAAAAATTAAAACTGAATTTAAATTATTTATACGATCAAAAAACATTAAATAATTGATTAAATTTTGTTATAGCTACATCAATGTTTTTTTTATAATTTAAGTAAATGAAAATTGATATTTCTTATTGGTTATAGCTCCTTTACAAAAACTAGTTAAAATAGATTTTAATAACATATACTCAATGTACTTATTCATTCATTGTGGATGCATATGGAGAAACCAATTCCCCATTTGAGAAGACCATTTTATGATAGTATTATCCATTTTTGTAAAGGATAAGTTTTAAATGGAATTTTTAATTATATATTATTTGTGTTATAATAATGTTAAATTAAGACATAAATTATATTTTTAACCTTATATTATTTTATTTGGTTAGACATAATTAATGTCAGTAGATTCTATTCATATTTTGAGGCCTTCAACTATTCTACTTAGAAAAAGAGACTATTTCCATTTTTAAAATAAATAGTAATAACTTAAAAAATATTTTAAATTCAAAGATTTTAATCTCTCTCACATTTTTTATTTAAAATCAGTAACATAATTAAAATTGGTAACATATTTTTTAAAATAATGTGTGACTTATAAAAATCATAAATTATTATATTTAAAAAAGAAATTGAAAAAACAAAAATATAAGTGACAATCATTAAAAGATAATTACATTATCTATTTTTAATATAAAATATGAAAAATATTAATTGAAATATTGGAATTAATTTCATTAATAAAATAAAATTAAAAATTATAATTATAATTATTATTTTTTTAAAACACTTAAATATTTTTTTTGTTGATAGAGTGAATAATATATAGTTAAATAATATCATTTAAAAATGACTACTAGAACAAATAAGCTATTAAAGAGTATAATTTTCCTTTTACTTAAACTATAAAATTATATGATATTTTTAATAGAAGCATATTTATTTCTAAAATAACCTTTTTCTTACAAAAAAAAATTACTACAAGAACATTAGCAATTTTTGGTAATGTTGCTTTCCGCGTAAGCATGATTTAATATTTCATTTTTTCCTCAAATATATATTACTATTTTAAACTTTAATATATTTTAATTATTATTATTATAATTATTAAAAATCTCCGTTATAATAACTCTTTTAAATTATTAAAAAATATTTAATAGTAATAATAATAATAAAATAGTGGTTTTTCTTTAAACTCTTCTTAATTGATAAAAATCTAGAAAAAAAATAAAAAGACACAAAATGGTGGCCTCCACTTTAAAATATACATAAAGGTGATGATGGTAATACTTGACTAGATAGATGTGTATTAACATTATCCTATATATATATATATATATATATATATATATATATATATATATATATATATATATATATATATATATATATATATATATATATATATATATATATATATATATATATATATATATATATATATATATATATATATATATATATATATATATATATATATATATATTAAAAATAAAAAAAAGTAAGTGAAGGGCATTTCCATAATATCAAACAATGTTAAGGGCATATATCTACTAGTACAAAAAAAACAGTGCCTGAAAATGTACATTATATAATTTAATTACAATGCAAATCCAAAGCCTGTTTCTTGTATTCTTATGCCAACAAACACTCTCATCTTCACACACCATAAAAGGAGGAGAGTTTCCTGGTTTGTTGTCTTCCTCTACTACCACAAACTCCATCTTTTCTTCCTCCAACAACACCAAAACTTGTGAAACAAACACTCACTAGTTAGTTTTCAAATTAATTAGAAGAGAAAAAAAAAAAGGGAACATTATTTTTCTTCTTCCCTTTTTCTTAATTTTGCTATGTCAAACATCACAAGTTGTGATAGTGGAAGTTTCTCTACAGAGAATACCAGAGATCAAGATGGAGTTAAACATCAACAACAAAATGAAATACTTGGTCAATTTCATAGTCCACATTCTCATACTTCAACTACAACTACAACAAATAATAGCAATGGTTCCAACACTAATTTACAACCACCTCTTAAGAGAAAAAGGAACCTACCAGGAAATCCAGGTAATAAAACAATTTTAATTTAATTATCTTTTTCTTTTATTTTCTTATTCATTCTTAGTTTTTTTGAAGATGTGTTAGTTTTGCAAGATTTTATGTAATTAAATGTTAATGAAAGTATGTAGCAGTAGTAGTAGTATATTATTTCTTCAACCTTCATATTGATTAATTTTTTTTAAAATAGTGATGCAAAGTTTTCTACTAAAACATGTTGAAAAATGATAAACTCACAAATGAGTAATACTATTAAATTTTTGGACAATGGCATGGTTGCTTAGTTATTAATTAATTAATTAGAGTGTATTTAATTAAAACATTTCTAGGTTTCATGAAATTAAAAGATAAGGCTTGATCTAGTATAGAATATAGGAAGTCCTAATTAGTATTCTTTTATAGAGAAGACAAAGATCTATGTAGTTGGGATATGTTTTAATTAAGCTAGAATATAATTAATATAGCTAAAAAAACGATGAATTATTGGTCTGTGTAACTAGGAGAAGAAGGAAAAAAAACTCAATTATTGTCATGCTACAATCATTGTTGTACACTGTTGACTTTTCCTGACTCCTATATTTTCTTTTTTTTCTTTGTTTCACACATGTGTATTGATTTTTTTAATTTAATTAATGTGTTTAATTATTTGTGAAGATCCAAGTGCTGAAGTGATAGCTTTATCACCAACAACACTAATGGCTACAAACAGATTCGTATGTGAAATATGCAACAAAGGTTTTCAAAGAGACCAAAATCTTCAATTGCACCGAAGAGGACACAACTTGCCATGGAAGCTTAAGCAGAGAACAACTAGTGAAATCATAAAGAAGGTTTATGTTTGTCCTGAACCTTCATGTGTTCACCATAATCCTGTAAGAGCACTTGGTGATCTTACTGGTATTAAAAAGCACTTTTGTAGAAAGCACGGTGAGAAAAAGTGGAAATGTGATAAGTGTTCTAAGAAATATGCTGTTCAATCTGATTGGAAAGCTCATTCTAAAATCTGTGGTACAAGGGAATACAAATGTGACTGTGGAACCATCTTTTCTAGGTATGAAAAACTTGTAGATTTATTTGACTTTTCAATAGTGTTTTTCTTTTTTTCTTTTATTGCTTCTTGCACCAGTTGAATTTTCATGCAGTAACTGTACTTTTGATAATAAAGTGTCTCCGTGCCGTTTTGGCAGCTAAGAAAAAGATAAAGAGTTAATTGTCTTTGACCACATCCTATGAAATTCTTTTCATTTCATCATAACTCATTTTTTATTACAACTTTTTTTAGTTTAGGTTTCAATTAGTTGTTCTTATCACTACGTATATATTATTAAACTTATCATGCTTAATTAGTCAAAGGTTCCTACGTACATACATGCACTAATCTCATGAGAAACTACCTTTATTATTTTTAATATATATTATATATAATAAAGATTTTACAATAGAATAAACTAACGCTAATGGAAAACTCAATAATCTCTGAAACTATATTCATTGATCTATGAGACATAATATTTTGGTCTTTATGTAAAAGATTCACTGTGCTATGAAACCAAGAATGTGAAAGACAGATGATATGATAGCATGTTGATTGTTAGACCGGACAAAGTAAAACCTTTCATCCTCAGTCTCAATCTCCGCAATGGAAAACTCAAGTCAAGTTCACCATTCATGTTTCTCAACTGTTTTGATCTTAATATATTTATATTGGTTTATTTTTCTGCAGAAGAGACAGCTTCATTACCCACAGAGCTTTCTGTGATGCATTAGCTGAAGAGAACAACAAAGCCAACGAAGGTTCAGTACAATTATCAAACATGCAACAACACCAACAAATTCCAAATCTCGTTTCTTCAATATTACCAATGAACCAAAACAAGTCACAAATTGTTGGAGCTTCAGAGTTCAACCTTTCAGATCACAAACATCCATTATCATCACCTCACGACCTCATGTCAGTTCCTGTAAAACCCTTCAACAGCAATATATTCACCAGAAGTCTTTCGTCGTCAACTTCATCTCCTTCTCTTCAACTGAGTTCAAATAATTCACTCAACAACATCTTGGAAGAAAACGGATCAGTCCATTTATCTGCAGCTGCAACCTCGCCTCACATGTCAGCCACTGCATTGTTACAAATAGCTGCTCAAATGGGTGCAACCGTGAGTAATAGTAATGCAGGTATGGTTATGTCAGATAAAACAACCGTCGCTACAAACATGATGTCCCCGCCACCGCTGTTTGGTATGGTGCAACAACAAGGACATTCTTTCATGAACCACAACATGCAACAGCAACCTCAGTACATTAATAATAATTTCAATGGAAATGTGATGATAAATGGAGGTGTTAATGGATCAATGAATGGAGTTGATATGTTTAATGCTATATTGGATCAAAGTAAGGCTTTATCCAAAATCATTGAACAGAACAATCAAACTCAAAGCATGAACAGTGTTGTAGGAGGAGGTGCAACAAGTAATATTATGAATATTGGTGGAAGTAAAGGAAGTGGTGGGGGAGATGTAATGACACTGGATTTATTGGGGATAGGAGGTGGGGGTGCACATGGTAATTTCTATGGAGGGGGTGCACATGGTACACAACAACAGCAACAAGCAGAAAGTGCTGCAGCAGCAGTAGAAGCAGATGAGGTTTGGAGAAATTGGTCAACCAAGAGTGGAGGGTTTGAAACCTTTTCAGCAACAAGCAACATTTGAAAAGACCACCACCTGATTTGGTTGGGGAACCAAGAAATAGTTAATAATAGTAATTAATTTCAACTTTTTTAGTTAGTGGGTTGCTTTTATTTTTGTTTTTATTTTTATTTTTATAGTAATTAACTACCCCACACCCCCTTCCTTTCGACCATGACACATCAAATCATTGATATAAATTGGTCGATTTTGCATTTATGACAAGCTAGTCAGTGTAAGTGTAATGTTGTAGACTCTTTTGGTATGATAAATTTGTATTCAAATGGTACAATTGGCAAACATTAATTAAGAATTCTCTGTTCAATATACACGTTTAAATTCTCATTACATAATATTGGGAAATGAATGCACGAAAATTAAAATGTATAGTGTTGAGAACTAGAATGAATGAGAGCCACAAAAACTAGATAAGTGCTATGCTATGCCAACCAATCACAATGCACCGCTTCATTATTTATTTTCTTATAATTGTATAAAATTTTTTTGTTTTTAATAGGATGAAATACATGTTACCTAATTATTTATGACATAAAGTGTTGAAAGATGGCGGTGCAAGTGCAAGCGAGGTTTGGGGCATGGAACAAAAATGCAATAGGAATAGTTAGGGGTTCAAGCGACGAAGATAAAGTGAAAGTGAAAGAGGCAGTAGAGTGGTCACCTGCGAAGGAATTGGCCACGAAATTTGAGCGGCGGCTTCTTGTGGGTATAGGTTCAGCTTCACTTGTAGCTTTAGGTGCAAATTTTGGTGGCATCACGAGTTTTTTGTTAGGTTTGTCGCCACAGAATGGTCGTAACTTGAAGCTAGACGTGCTTTATCCCATAGGCGGTTACACCCGTTACGTTGACGCCAGGGAGGGGTTCGGTAATTTATTTTGTTCACTTTGTTATGTATATTAAAAAGATTAGTAGTGCGTTTAATTAATTGTTAATTTGGATGCTATGTATTAAATTAACAGAATTTATATACCCGAAGAATTGGGTTGGAGATCAGACATTGCTGTATCGAGCTGCTAAAAAAAGAGAAATGGAACTATCATTGGATCCTCCACCGCTGAATTTACGGCCACGTTCTAATGTCACGGAACCTGTTGTTGCATTTGGTCCCCCGGGTTCCAACGGTGAACTCAATCTTAGTGTTATTGTTTCGCCAGTTTCGGGAGACTTCTCGTAAGTGTCTGCTCGTTAATTGAAATGTCAATTTCACTTTCATCATTTTTATGTGCTTATGGAAACTTTATTGTTTTTAACTTTTACAAGGATTGAAGCATTTGGAAGCCCGCAGGAAGTTGGGGAAGCTGTAATTCGAACCATAACAGGATCAGGACAGCGCCAGGACTTAAAGGGAACATTGATAGAATCAAGTTTGAGAGAAGATCCTGCTAGAAATGCCAAATACTATGAGCTAGAATTCAAAGTTGAAAGCCCCTCTTTCCGGCGACACAATGTTTGTGTCTGCTGTGCTCGTGGTGGTAGGCTTTTTACGTTAAATGCCCAGGCACCGGAATCAGTCTGGCCTGGGTTGAAGTCAGGTTTCTATACAATTGCTGATTCGTTCAACCTCACAAGTTAGTGGTGATTCAGGTAAAGCTTTAATAGAACAACGGACGGGGGCCAGGAGTACAAATTAAATATATATGCCCAATACGTTGTTGTAACTCCTTTATGTTGTTTCCAAAGCTAAGGTTTTTGATTTGCTTAGCTATGTTTGATCTTATGTGGGGATACCTGGCTGTTGCCAATTCTGAACCCCAAACATTTCTGAATTTGACAAAAAGGTCGGCACGCATGCACAAATAGAAATAAACTTGTGACTTCATATATATTTACTAGATTAGTACATGTTTCTATTCCACTTTCTGAAATAAAATACAGATCTGACATCTCTCATTACAGCATGATTCTGTCTCTTTTGTCGGTAACTATTATACACATTCAATAATTATTTACGTATTTGATCTACTATACTGAAACATACCAAACTGCAAAATATTGCTAAAATACAAGTACTGTACATAACAGCTCTTTATGCACAAGTAATCTGCCTCCGCTTAGACATCTTCTCGTAGTTCTCAGAAACCATTGCAGTCAAATTAGGGTCTCCATATCCAATCTCTCCACCAAGTCTGGCAAAACATCATATTGTAAACAAACATAAAGACATGGAGATGTGGGACAAAATCAAAGAATATGGAAACAAACATAACATTTCTGTCCATAGGGGGCAACTGACCAATTTTAAAACCCTTGTGAAAACAGGCTTTTAAGTTGCAGGATAAGGGCGAACATTAGTCAATCAAGTGTGTGTGAGAGAGAGAAAAAAAAATAAACAAGTCATATCTGAAATTTACATACTTTGGGTCAAGTACAAGTTTCTGAACTTCTTTGATTGCTGAACTTGCAGCATAGAGAGATATCTTCCCAACCTGCATAAATGTACAAAAATAAGTTCAGGAGTAAGTATCAACGAAATATAATTGAAAAGCATTACTTAAAGGAGACATAAATTGTAGACAAGTGGTAACGAACAAAAAGAGAACTTGACAATTATATGTAACTCTTTTCTTTGCTGACCTCCAAAACTTGAAGTTTTGCTTCATGTTCATTAGGTAAACGGCGAACTTCCTCTGCCAATCTTACAGCCACCCCCAAGCTTTCAGGAGATAAGAAATCAAGGCCCAATTGAACAGTCGACTGAAATTTTCAAAATAGAGATGATCACGGGAGAATTCATAATGTGTTGAGATATATTCCGTAACAACTAAAGAGATAATGTTAATAATGATAGACACCAATCAGATGCAAAATTCATTCTTTGGAAGTGGTTCAAGTAACAGATATAAAAAACTATGAAGGTCACCAGTTAAAATATATAAAGTGAACTCACCTGAACATTTCTTGCTTGAAAAGGGCAACCAGCTGGAACAAATATAGCTTCCCCCAAATTCTGTTCAAATGACCACGGCTCCACTCCTACATAGGAAGACAGTTATTGCGTTAGAAAGAAAGAAGATAAAAAAAATTTAAAAAAAACAATTGCTTTCTGAAACTTTAGTCTACCCACAATTTAGCACATCAGTACCAAGCTTTTCGTGACAAACAAAAACACAAATGCAAATTGCTCTCGGATACCTCATTAGACCTCATACAATTTATTTCTTTAAGCCGGAAAATGTATTTTTTCCATATTTTTCTGAACAAGCATTATTGAAGAGCACAATGAAGACTGAAGACTGAAGACAGATACTGGCACAACAAGATGCATCAACCCAGTAATACTGGTGGGGAAAGAACTTTCAAGTGAAAAAATCCCCCGAAAAAATTTGAGGGCATTCAAAAAAACTACGTTGTCCCTGTCCTAAAAAAAATGAAGATGCACCAAGAGGTGTACAATTATCAAAGGTTATGTGCAGAAAATTATCAAAGGGTGCAAATTGCAATGAATGGTGAGGTATGGATGTATGGAAAGGGAGGATGAAATAGGAAAACGCTACCTGACCCATGTTGGATGATTAACAGGGGAGGTAAAAGGTTTCTTTTTATGAGGGGTGACTTATAAAAGGTTGAAGCTGAGTAATAACCCCCACATTGCACTCAATTCAAAATAGAAAGGCTAAAATAAGAGTATAGACTAAAATAGAAAAGTTAAAGATTTGGAAAATGAAATTTAGGACAGGAATGGGATAGTCTAAGGTTGAGTTAGTATTTATGACAAGCTAGCTAGTGTAATAACGGCACTATGCAGGTTCACCTGTATCAACGTAACAATTCATAATTATAATAGTAAGATCTTACCAAATTCTTCCTTCAACTTTCTTTTATGGAGTCTGTCAAGAAAAATAGCTCCACCATAAAGAGGCCACGTAACCTTGAATCCAGAGGAGTACAATTATCATCAGCAAAAAAATATCAAAATAAGTAAATTAACCAAAGAATTGGGAAGAAATATTACTTTAATTGTTCTGTAAGACTTACTATATCATCCGACTTCCCGAATTCCCTCCAATGCATTTTCAAATATTCAGTCACCTTTGGAACATCCTGCCGACGAAAGACATCCCAAAGAACTCCAGGATGTGTTATCTCAGAGGTGACTCCATTTTGTCTTGATGGAATATCACAATTGACCATATTCCCTTCAGGACTAGAATAAACTTCATACACTTGATCCATGGTTGAATCTTTCTGATCTGATTCCAAATCCAGTCCATTAATTTTTGTACAAAGGGCTGAATCAGGTGAACTCCCACTTGAACATATATGTGGAATCCCGTGAGATTCTTTCCCCTCAGACTCCTTATGAGGTTTCTGCATCATTTCAATTTTTGTTCTCTGCCAGTCCTTCAGCTTCACTTCACTTGTATGGACCAAAAGGTACACCTGTGGAAAACCGGTACATTTGTTACAGTAAACTTAATGTCCAAAAAACAGTACATTTGTTACTTTACTCTGACTCCTTTTCTTTATTCAAAAAAACTCAAAACTCCCAACATTTCCCTCTAAAAAATATAGTAGGAAAAGGAGACAAGATTGACAAATATGTAAATTAGTACTTCGCAGAGTTTGGGTAAATAATCAGAATGTTTGGGTATTTGAATTTAAATGGCACTATGTTATTAATCCAAGATAGTGTCGCGTAACACCAACTCCCTAAAATTCTATAGCATATAGCGAGATAACCGATATTGCAAAGACTAAAAATAGTGTGGAAAGGAAACATAAATACTCAAAAATAGAAAAATATACAAAATTAGAGAGACCTTTGTATTTAATAATTAAATAACCCTAAAGTACATAGCAATAAAAGTTAAATAGAGAAGAAAAACATAACAAAACCTAACCAAAAGTAGGAAGAACATAATGATTGCTAGTGAACAAGAACATAACAGAATGAAGAACATAATTTTACTCTTAAAAGAGTATGAGTGGGCATTTATACCCTTGAAAAAACAAGGGTGTGAAAAAAGGCTTTGAAGAATTTCACCCTGAAATCCCTAATAGTGGTTGCGATGGCAGTTTGCGGCTCATGGGCCAAAAGCGTCGTGCAAGACCCTACCACCACTATGCTATTCCGCTATAGCATGCTATTGACAACAGAGCGGCACGTTATAAATTGTCACTAGGGGGGCGTTTGATTGAAGGATTCAAAAATAATTACCGGGAAAGTTATTTGGGAATATAAATATGGAAGTTTAATTCCTGGGTATTTTTTTAGAAAATTAAGTAAAACTTCATGGAAATCCACATTCCCAGCTTCTCGTATGAGAATAAAACAATGGGAATTAGGGAAGCTTTATACCTACAAAAAAAAATTCAACTTTATAACAAACACGGGTATCACTACTCTCTAGCCATGTATTCCTCAAAATGTGATTCTTAGACTTGAAACAAATACCCCTATTTATCAAAAAAAAACACCCCCTAAGCACTTATAATCAAAAACTGCAATTTTTAATCACAAATATAAGCAACCTGCATACATTAATCAGAAAATTTAGACAATAATAAATACATAACTAAACATAAATTAACAATGAACTATCAAATTAATACAAATTAAGACACTTGAAATTTAAACCAAAATTATAATGAAGTTGCAGCTTGTAAAACATTGTGTCCCCTGAAAAATCAAAAGTGCAAGACATAAAATGACCATTTCCATATCTTGGGTTAATGAGGATAGAGAAATATACCATATCACGCATATTGAAGTGCAGTTTTGTCACAGAATCGCCTCTGCCAAGTTCACCATTAATCCCATAAGATATATAGATCTTGGGTCCTACGTCATTCTGCAAGGAGTAATGAGGCAACTTAGCTGCAACATTAAGAAGGCCCCACTTCGAGTGAATATACTGAAGTAAAGGCAGCTTGCTGATAAACTCAGGTCTTTGGTACAAAAGAAATTCTTCAGATGCTCTAGGTGAAGGCCAATCTTTCAGTTTCAATATCTGTGGCCAACCATTTTCAAGAATACGCCCCTCGGAATATCCTTTCATGAACTGACTAAGCTCGATATCAACCTGCCAAAAACAAAGAATAAATTCAGCCATAAAGTATAGTAATTTAAAAAATGATTAACTAGTAAACACGGCAACAGAAAACAATACAATTTCAACTGCCAAAAAGAGAAGATCTACAGATGTGTACCTCAGATCCATCTAAGCAATCTATGGCCTTAACCATTCTGCTATCATCTTTCATATTCGCATCTGTAGTCTCTAGAATCCCTCTCCATATGACCAATGGATCCCAGCTTGAAATTGATGACCTATCAAATACTTGCTTAACAATAATGGGCTCACCAGTTTTCCAGTGCATTCTAAACATGCCAATCCCATCAGTTTTGAGATCTTCTGATGTTGGACAATAAAGATAATTATCATTGCTAGCCTCTCTTTGAGAATATTGGCAAAGTCTGAGACTATTCAATCCTGTTTTTGGTCGACCATCAGCATCACTTATTTTACATCCACTAACCATTTCTTCTACATTTTTTATTAATTTTGCAACCCAGTTCATCTTGAAAATCCGACTTAAATTTAAGGATGAATAACCACAACCACCATACTCCTTAGGGGGGCATGGAACACTACCATTGTCATTGGATCTCCAGTGAGGAAACTTGCTTAATATGTTTCGATCAGTAGTTCTTGCTTGCTCTGTTTGAGGTTCATTACTCTGATGTACAGTAGCTTCCCGAAGATCTCGGCAACAAATAAGGCACAGATCATATGAACAAATTGGACAGCGTCGATGATAATCAGTGATAGGTATCCTGCATAAATTGCTGCAAGAAAACAAATAGACATAAATAATTAGCCATATACTACAAACAAATAAGGAACTTCCCATGGTGCTTCTGCACCCGTAAAAACCATCAATTTCAGTAAGTGTCATAGATGTACCAGCACATCTGCTCATCAGCATTCAATTTTGTCCTTGGAAGATCTATTTCAGCACCTGAGAAAGATATCAATATTTTTACATCGTCAAATACTAGAATACTCAAAAACAAAAGCGAAATACAGTCAAATACCAATAGCAGTTCAAGGCTCCAAGCAAAAACTCAAATAAACTTTAAAATGCATCTTACCACGCAACTTCTTTTCAAGTTCAACTTCAAAACATTGTTCGTGGTGAATCTGCTTTACCACGGGAAGCACCGATGAGAGCAACAAGTGAAGATACTGTAACTTATCCATTACAGGTATCTCACGTATCCGAACCTTAACATCAGCACAACCAGAAAATTTACTGACTGGAAAAGGAACAGGCATAGTGTATGCAAAATTTTGAAGGTGTGCATAATCAAATGGTATGCTAGTAACTCTTAAAATACCTTTATTGAATTATCATTGCGTAAGCAAATCTTACAATTGCATATACCACGGCATGCAGGACATAGTCTCTGAATTTCATCCAACGAAATGTTAGAATACCTGCAAAGAAGTAAACCATAAAACACAGTCCCCACCTGAAACAACGGGTGTAAAAGAACAACCAAAAGAAGGTATCTTCACTAAAATCCATTCCATACTCACCAAGTTGATATACAGGTATCACAATACCCTCTCCTATCACACTTAAGACACCAAGTAACTCTATCTCTAACATTCTTCCTGCACTGATGACAAGTCTGCCCGCCAGTCTGTTGAGAAGAATCTGAGGTTCCATCAGAATATTCCTGCGAAGAAATTTTCAAACAGCAACCTCTCAATTCAGCAACATTATAAAACCTTGCATTCACTACAAACTGTCTAGCCAATCATACAAAACTTACAGTAGTGGCATTGGCATCGGCATCAAGGCTCCCGTGCGGCATTTTCCCAGCAGATTCATCACCCGAAGCATGTGGTGAATCATTGGAGACCCAATTCTCTACAGCATCCTCGTCATCAGCATGATCAGGGGAATCATCACCCTCACCAAGCTTGGAATCACGACGCGAAGAAGACCCCCTAGTCGCGTCAGCACCCTCAGGAGTATAACGAAACTGATTCTTCGAAACCTTATCAAACAACTTCTTCCCAGAGGAAGAAGAAGAACGTTGATTAAAAGCACTAGAAAGAGGAGCATCAAAATCATCACTTTTACTCTCCAAATAAACATCAGAATCAGGATACGTTTTCGCTTTCTTGAGATTAGCTCTCATAGCGGAATTCGCCGCTCTTTTCTTCGCTTGAATGTAATGCTTCTCGCAAACCGTCTTATCCGGCATCGACATCGCCGTGCACCTCCATTGTTTCCCGTCGGACCTCTTGCAACGCAAATCGTCCGGAATTCCTACATTCTCGTCGATGTTGTTCGATCTAACGTGATCCATTCCCTTTTCTCACACTCTGAGCACGATTCTCGAAATTGAATTGAGAATAAAAATAATCGATTAACGAATTGAGTGAATGAACTAAACCCTAGCTGTTACCATGAACGAAGCACGATAGAGAGTGAGAGAAAGAAACCCTAATTTGTTAGTTTTTGTTACGGTGTAAACAATGGGAAATTTTTATGTTGAGTACGCGACGTCGTTTTAGTGTTCCAATGTGCAGAGTTGGGTGTGATAAGGAAGGTTGCTGTAAGTGAAAGCGTCACCATTCTTGCTCCTGCAGTATTAGGACCGTTTAGTTAGTGGGTGTGCTTTGAGATAGAAAGGTAAAAATATAATAGAATACTTTATTTTATTTTTTGAACAAATTTTGGATGAAAATTCTTAGTATTTGTTTCTTTAAAAAAGTTAAACCCAATTGCCAAATATGTATGACACGAATATCTACGATATAAGAAAACTATATGCTAGGTAAAATACCAAAATATTCTTCTACTCGTAAAATCATCCAACTACCTTCTTCATTTTGGTTTCTTATATATGGTAGATTGTTTTCGTTCTATTATTAATATATAAACTTTAAAGTAATTGGAAATCTAATATATATCCTCTAATTATAATTAATTATTAAAGATATATTAGTTTTTTTTTATCTATTTTTATTATCATATTGTTTTTGTATTTAATGTCTTTGATGTGTCAACACAATAGATTTTTCCATCATTTTTTATTTTTTTTAATCATTAATTATTTAATCACTAATCTTATATTATTATTAATTTATTTTTTCAAAAATCTAATTACATTTATTAAATACCAGGAGGCGCGGTAGTATTGTTTGTGTATAATTAGTGGTTATTCCATTGCAGAACCAAATTTCAATTCCAATGCAAGTGTATTGATAGCAGTCATCAACACCAAAACTTTCAACAATGGAGAAACTCACTCTTTCAGCTTTCGCTTCTTCTTGACCCAACCATAAATATGCTCCACTGCATTTCTTCAAAACTTAATCTATCATTTCTTCATTTTTCAAGTGTTCACAATACTTAGGTAGTCAACACTAATCCTGACATTTTTCGATTCCCTATTGTTGTTTGTGTCATAAATCTTATCGGATTCAACCCCAAATTCATGGATTTTGTTTTGTTAAGATTATGGTTCCAGCCCCAATTTTACAGATTAGGTTAAATTCCTGTTGAAGCTAATGAAAATTTCAGAAGATGATTGAAGAACATTTGATTGCTTCACATTTGAAATTTTCAATTTCTGTTTTGCAGTTGCTGATACGGTTCTGTTATTCTGATTAGGGCATGCTTTCATGTTGTTGTTACAGTCTTATGTGGTCGTTTCAACTTTTCTGATTCTAATTTTGTCATGTTGTTGTTACAGGATATATCACTATCTATGGCTCGCCCAATTGAAGCAGTAAAGGATATCAACGAGTCAAAGGATTTATGAAAGATTGTTGTTAGGTGCAACATTTGTGGACTGTGACGAGTGCATCGAAAAAGGAACACATTGAGATGATTTTGGTTGATTCTAAGGTATATTGGCAGTCTGGTTGTTCTTAATTTGTATTTGCGATGTTGATGTATGTAATACTAACTTTGTATGTTCGTTTATTGTAGTTAGATATGATTCAAGTCATTGTGTCATCTTTTTTGGTTTCGAAATTCAAGGAACATCTTGCGGCTGGATGTTCATACATAATGCAGAATTTCAAAGTGTCAAACAATGATTTCTCTTTTAAATCGACTACTCATAGTTTCAAGTTGGTGTTTTGCGGGTCAACTTCTGTTAAAAAGGCAGAACTCCCTGATATTCCTATGAATTACCTGAACATTCTTCATTTGGATGCCATTGTTGAAGGAAAATTCCAGTCTAATGTTTTGGTTGGTATGTTATTAGTGAATTTTAGTTTAATTAATAAAAAATTTGATTTTAACCGTCTATAAATCTAGATAGTATATAACACATGAATTATTGTAGATATTTTTGGAGGAGTGACCGACATTTCTCAAACACAAATCAATGTTGATGACAATAAGACCAAAGTTGTGTTTTCAATTACTGATAATAGGTATGCTTCATGTTCTTTTTTATATAATATTATTGCATTAAGTAAACTAACATCATCATATTAATAATGGTAATATGTTTGACAAAACAGCTGGTCTGAAGTACAATGTAAAATTTCATGATTATTATAAAAGTCATAAGGAAGATGGTAATATAGTTGTTTTGCTGATTAATGTCAGGATTAAGGAGGCTCAAGTTTTGACACTTGCAATTTTTTTGTTTTTTGGTCAAATGTGAATATAAAATTATGTAACATCAAATATTATCCTTATGTTCTATACAATTGAATGTTCTAAAGAATGACTGAAACTTGCGGGAGGGTTTCCTTTGAACGTCTCCAACGCTTGTAACGGCACAAAGTTGTTGATTAATGATATTACCCTTGATGAATTAGCAAACTCAGAGATAGGTGTTGATTGAACTCATTTTATTTATCGTGTTGTATCATATCTTTTTGTTAATGCATTACGCGTCAAACTGATTATGAACATTTGTCTTATATTTCATGTAGTTTGCGGTCTAAATTGCCATTATTATCTTCATCAAGTCTTTAAGTGGACACAACATAAAACTCATACTATTCTGAGTTCGATAAGTTTGTGTGGAAGGCAAAAATTCTAAGTTTTACTGAAATAACAACTCTGCAACACGTAATACATATTCCATTGTATAATCACATTATGATTAAGAATCATATCAAACTAACTATGGGTTTCATCATTTTATCAGGAGACTACATGTGTTACTGTTGAGACTTTGGACAAATTTGAGGTTGGACAGTTAGGCTAGTATTATGATAGATGTGTTGGTTGCACAAAAAGTGTGTCACTGCAGGATGGTAAGCTGGTCTATTATTCCAAACACATTAGTTCAAAGCATGTACCAAGGTATTGTCTGTATAGCTATTCAGGATTCATGTTGTTTAATTTTTGGTGGCATTACATTCATGGTTTATGATTTTCTTATAGATACAAACTCGATGTTTTGGCTGTTAATGGTAAATACAAGGCCAGATTCATTTTTTGGGATGGAGATTGCGTCAAGTTGATTGGGAAGTCCGTTCTTCAAATAAAAAATGAATTGACAGAGGTATATAATGACACCTTATTAAGTTTGATTCTTTTTTAAAAACTGTGTAATATAGTTCATTGTGTTTATGTAGGCCAATGAAGATGATCCTCTTGAATTCACTTATGCACTTGATGCAATTTTAAAGCAGGAATTGGCTATTAGGGATGTTTTTCAGCCTAACAAAGACTGGCTTTCTGTCATTAGTTGCAAAATTGATAAAGATTTTCGTAAGAGAGTTAGAGAGAGTTTCAGCTCAGAAGAGGTAATCTCAGTGTAAACACAAAAATATCATGGTTGATCACTCTTGATTTATTTGGACTGATATTATTTTGTTTTGGCAGCCTACTTCAAAGCTTCTACAAACGGAGCCTTCATCCCAAGATGAATCAATATCCTTTATTGTAAGTTATTAATTCAAACCTGAGTCCTCTATATATAAAACAGAAATCTCCATACATTGTTTAATGCTGATATATTATATCCATATTGCCAGCGAGAACCTTTATCCACATATGTCGATTATGACTCTGCTGTTGGAAATTCAAGCCTGACTCCATCAAAAAGGACTTTGCCTTATGTTGTTGAAGATATTGAGAGTGTCCAACTTTCCTCAACCAAGTTAATTAAGGATATAAAGAAAGAGAAGTAGTTATTCACATTTATGTTATGTTAAGTTATTGTTAGCTTTGAAGAAACCAATTTGATTGTTTATAGTTTCTTGCCTTGAATATTTTGGATTTGTTTCAAAAAAATTCAGTTTGATCTCTTTAATATCCTTGAAAGAGGATTGTCGAACTCCATCTTATATTTTGGTTAATTTTTTTTAATGTTATATTGCATTGTGAGCCACGTATATCTTTGTCTGTTATTGTCACATAATTTTAGTAGTATGCATCTCGAACCAATGCAAATCCTATTTTTAATATAGTTAATAATTGATGTTGTTTCATCAACTTCAGTATAGATGTGAATTCATTGTTTATATTATATTTTTAATGGTGTCATAAAACAATTAATTTCTACATTATTTAAACTTATTAAATAATTCTTTATTTCATATATGTTATCTCTATATGGTTTCAGTATTCTCTTGATATATCAGGATCCATAAAACTTTCATTTTGTCGTTCATTATAGGCCTAAAACCTTTAAATCTTATACTTGACTACAAAAACTTTCAAAATGAATAGTCATTTAACTTCATGTAATTCAATGAAGAAGTAGGTACATACAATCATTTGCCTCCAAATATAATATGTGTTTATATCTTCCACACTATTCAATTAATGTAATTATTATTTATTTAGATGTCTTATGTGATATATGGTAAGAAGATGATGAAACTATATGAAGCAAGCAATTGTTGGAAACATACACTATTATACTATTAACTACAAGAACACCAAACTTGTGAAATACATTTTGCAAAAAGCAGTGATACACTATTATACTTAGTAGATTAATCCACTTAGATGCTAACAGCAAATTAAAGAAACACATTACATGAACGGTGCATGCCTAATAGCAAAGTGTTAACAAAAACATGTAACAAAGATAAACATACACATAATATCATTCCCAGAACTAAACATTTAACATAACATTATTCCCAACTTGGTACAAAACTCCTAATTTTTTCCAGCCCAAACATACATAATATTCACCTCACTCTTTTATCTGAATTTCACCTTTTCCGTACAACCTCACAAACAGGTTTTCCTTATCTAAATTGTAAGTGAACGCAAGCGTATCTCCCACCTTTAGTTTTTTTCCGTTAGCATATGACTACCACCCTTTTCGCAAGTACATTTCCACATATTTCCTGTTAGATTTCATTATCTTGCATG